GTATAGAAAATAAGCAGTCACTTTAGATACGTGTTTTTTTAACCTGTTACGAGCATAACAGGCGGCCGCGGCGGTCGAGATAATCGGGGTGGAAAAGTAACACTGCTGCATCGGTCTATTGTCGACGTAGGTTCGAAACAGGTTGGAGAATAACGCATCAGTTGTTTTAGATATATTGTTTTTCAACCTGTTACGAGCATAACGGGCGGAGGTCGAGATATTATGGCGCTGTATGTTTCAGTACTTAGTTGTTAAGTTTCAGTTAGTTAGTTATTTTTATTAATATCTTTAAATATATACTTTCATTGTTTTTTCATTACTTTCATTGTTTCATTTTAAAACTCTTCAAAGACAATTTTACTAAGATTTACTTTAAGAAATTGTGAATGGTGCTTAGAAATTTAGTAATTAATTTATTTATTATAATAATGTGAAGTAATTAATAAAAAATGGAAATAACAATTTAATTAATTATTTAGTAATATACAGAGTGATTCCTGTAAGTCGGTCATGCTTTCGAGGAATGATAGGGGACGTCGAAATATTAATTTTGATATAGCACACTATGGGTCGGAAATGCCTCTTACGCAAGATAGGGGGTGTTAAAGTTTATGAAAAATTAAAGATTTTTTTAATAATTTTTTAACAGTTGAAGGTATCGTTATAAAATTTCATTATAGGAATCTACATAACAGAGACACTTTAAATGTAAAAAGAAGAGGTTTTAGTTTTAACCAGTGGTGTAGATGTGATACGCATCGGGTAATTTTTTCAAAAAAAATAGTACGCCACTGATAAAAATAAAAATTTCGGAGTTTTTTATTTACTCGGTTTATTTCCAAGAAAAAATATCTCTTGCAACTTTCTTCTATCTAACACCATTTTGTCACAATTTAAAAATAAATATTTTTTTAATTCGAATCTTAAATACAGCGAATTATTATAACTAGAGGACAGAAACACATGTGCATCGTTAGCTCCCTTCATCTTGGGTAACTTTAGTACTATTTACTACTGGCTCTAAATAATTTTTTAAAAAATTACAAATTTAAACTTTTTTTATTGTTAATAATAAAATTCGTAGTTTTAAGGTAGTTATAATAATTCGCATATTTAAGGTTCTCATTAAAAAATATTTATTTTTAAATTGTGACAAAATGGTGTTAGATAGAAGAAAGTTGCAAGAGACATTTTTTCTTGGAAATAAACCGAGTAAATAAAAAAACTCGAAATATTTATTTTTATCAATGGCGTACTATTTTTTTTTGAAAATATTACCCGATGCGTATCACAGTTACGCCACTGGTTGAAACTAAAACCTGCTCTTTTTACATTTAAAGTGTCTCTGTTAGGCAGACTCCTATAATAAAATTTTATAACGATACCTTCAACTGTTAAAAAACTATTAAAGAATATCTTTAATTTTTCAAAAACTTTAACACCTTGTATCTTGCGTAAGAGGCATTTCCGACCCATAGTGTGCTATATATCAAAATTAATATTTCGACGTCCCCTATCATTCCTCAAAAGCATGACCGACTTACAGGAATCACCCTGTATACATATATTTTTCTAAAGAAATGCTTTAGAAAAAAATAATTGAGTTTTTCTAAATTTTCCCAGTCTTAAGTTATTACAATACAGAAGTTGCAAAGTAATAGTTTTGTATTTTTCACCACTGTCTAAGACTATTACCACAGAATATCTAGCTACGCAACAGAAGCCTCGTTACATGTATAAAATTGTAGGTAGCAAAAGGAGACAGGCTTTAAAAGCCTGTCTCCAAATCAGATATTTTGATGTGGTAGTTTCGCTACTACATAATAGAGGGCAATAAATTTAAAAGAAAACAGTTTTCTACAAACAAAATTTAAAAGAATTTTGTGCAGTGTTGCCATTGTTTAATTCATATCGTTATACTTCCTGATAAAGCCTACCTTCAAATTTGCTACATCATTTAAACATATTAAAATAGATCAGAGCTGTTTTTTTCAATTTGCCATGTTAGTTGGAATTAAATCTTATGAGCTAAATTACAATCACTTCCTGACGTTTGATTGTATAATTGAATCCTGAATTTTCATTGTAATTCGGCGACAATATAATAAGTATTGTTCTACCGTATGATCGAATAAAAACGGTGTCAGCGATGGCTATGAAATGAAGATCGCTGTCATTTTATATGTAAATTTATATAGGAAATGCCATCGATCGTCATTTCCAAGCCAACTGGACGCCGTTTTTATTCGATCATACGGTACTATTATGATACCACTTCCTGACGTTCGATTGTGTTCATACCAAGTTCATATCGTATAATCAGGAAAAAACGGCGTTAGCGATGGCTATGAAATGAATATCGCTGTCATTTTATATATAAATTTATATGGGAAATGTCATCGATCGTCCTTTTCCAGCCAACTAGACGATGTTTTTTTCGGTATCATACGGTATTTGATATATACTATTTTTCATGACATTACAATCACAGAATCGTAGCTAGATATTCTGTGATTACAATATTATGGTACCATAAAGCATATCAAGTGATACTATAATATAGATATAATATATAACTATAATATAGATATAATAATATATATTACGATACATGGCGTTCGATTGGGCTTAAACTTGATATACTATATCTTCAGTGACATTGTAATATCATGGTACCATGGAGCATATAAAGTGGTACCTTCTATAGTACCATATTTGATGACATAGCAATATTAGGTACATGGCGGCAATAGGGCTTAAACTTGGTATACTAGGTATCTTCGGTTACATTGTAATATGATGGTACTATGATGCATATAAAGTGGTACCTTAATATAGTACTATATTTCAATACAATTTCCTGGCGTTCGATTGATCTCATATTTGATATATACTTGCGTATTTTTGATGACATTGCATTATTATGGTACCATGAAGCATATCAACTGGTACCATAATATAGTACTATATTACGTACATGGCGTTCGATTGGGATTAAACTTGGGATACTACGTATTTTCGGTAACATTGTAATATGATGGTACTATGATGCATATAAAGTGGTACCTTAATATAGTACCATATTACGATACCATTTCCTGGCGTTCGATTGGGCTTAAATTTGGTATACTACGTATCTTCGGTTACATTGTAATATGATTGTACTATGATGTATATAAAGTGGTACCGTAATATAGTACCATATTACGATACTATTTCATGGCGTTCGATTGTTTTTAAATTTGGTATACTACGGATCTTCGGTGACATTGCAATATTATGGTACCTTAAAGCATATCAAGTGGTACCATAATATAGTACACTATTATGATATCATTTCCTGGTGTTTGATTGGGCCCAAATTTGGTATACTTGCGTTTCTTTATAAAGATTTGTTTCATTAATAATTTTAATTTATTTTACGAATTTTTAATTTATTGTTCGATGTCGTGACAGCAACTTTTATGCCGAACTAATATATTATTAATTGTACCTGTGTCACTTTTTAAAATCTACCTAGGTCTATATAAATAACGTGGCAAGCGGAAGAAATTTGTTATTATAGTATTTTTTAGTCAGTTAACATTTTTGTACTGCATTTTAATAAATTATTTCCATTATTATTAAACTTATATTTCATTACTAACGTTCCTGTATATTATTAATTTTAAAGGTAATTAAAGGTATTTTCTTAGTTAACATTATAAGGTAGTGTATATTAAAAATGTATATGTTTTATAATAATATACTTAAAACTATTTTAATAGCCAAAGGAATAATTAATATAAGTGTATCTGACAAGAAAAGAAGAATAGAAAGAAACACATACTGCATTATACACAGTAAAAAGAAAGGGATGCCAATTCAAGTCTTTTTGAATCTGGCAACTGTGCATATTTAGCCGAGCTACAAGGCAGTCGGCGAGCCGTCGATCCAAAACCGAAAGTTCAAAATTTCTAATTATATTCTGATTATGACATTGTCGCGCCATCTAGTATTCTATTTGTGCAATTTTAGCTCTTTCATTTCGAGTATTTTTCTGTTGCGTAGCTAGATATTCTGTGCTATTACTGTTATAGATGGTGATAAGAATAAAAACACTATGTTAAGAAACGACTGTTTAAAAGGTAGCAAACACATTGAGTATAATATTATTTTAAATAATGTATATTCGTTGGTTTTGCTGCGATTTAAAGCTCTTCAAAAAACAAATTTACTATTCAGAGATAATGATACAACAAACGATAGATACTAAAAATACACTAAATAAAGATATATTACTTTTCAACTACTAAAACAAGTAAACGCTAAATTATACAGACTTCAAATTATTTGGAATCGCACTAAGAAAAATTAATCTTTTGAAATACTATAATTAGATATTACCCTTGTTTATACAGTATGTCCCCGGATTATCTTATAAGAGGAAATAAAGAAACCTGTTATTTTTAAGCTGTTATTTTAAGCTGCTTTTTATAAAATAAACTTGGATTGGTCTGGTTTTTCTATTTTGATTGCGCGCTAGAAGTAAAAATTCAAGGCCGTGCCACACAAGCGCGAGACGAAAAGTGGTAAGGACAGCCTACGGCTTAGAAATACATGTGATGCGACGTGTATTTGTGAGCAGTCCACATGTTTATCAAAAATATTCATATTTTTATACAAATTGTGTGAAATCGCGTAAAAAAATATATTTTTTTTAATTTATCTCTTTTTCAACATTTCAAACTACACTTTTTCAAACATGTCCTTCAATCAAACCCTTCAATTTAATAGCTGTTTGTAAGAAGTTTCACTTCAAATACGCGCACAAAACCAAACCAAATCATACGGTATTTGAATCACCCCCTAGCTATATATCTGTGAAAATAGTTTTAAAACGTGCACTACCATTACCCCAATATTTTGTAAATGACGTTGGAGAAAAACGCTATATCTAAAAACTTAATAAAAAAAACATATTTAAAACAAAATAATCACCTGTATTTTTTCTTACGCAGGTTTAGAAAAAACGATTCCAGACCGTCATCTCGCAAATCGTCCGTCATATCAATCACCCCCGAATCGCCAGTCAAAGAGCACATCAAAGATCGAGCCCTGAAAACGCGTTCGATATCATTGGATTCGTTAAAAACGGACCAAAACGGCACCGACACAGCCACGATCCCCGACAAATCGTCGCAAGACAGTTTGGACAGGCTGGAAAAGAAAACAAACGAGACTGTCGTTTTGAGACGGAAGTCCATCGTTAAGCAGAGCAACGAAGAGGAACCGGAATTGATGAAGGTGTTCGCTAGGAGGTCGTTGAAATTGAAGGACAACGAAATAGAGCAGCTTCAAGAGGCTATACAAGATGAAAAATTAAGGTAAGAAATAACTTATTTGTCTCATTGAATAAAAAGGCCAATCGAATAACAGAGTATGTCACCAAATTTGGCTAGACCGCGGAGGGATTTCAACATGACTGATTAATTTCTGTTATGTAAAATGTTTACTTAGTTATAAAACTTTTGTAATGTTGCTTTAATTGATCAGTGTATCCATTATTTTTTTCTTTGTTAGACATCGTTAATTTGAAATATATTCGTTTTTCTTCATTTTCAAGTACAATTTTGTCACTTAGGCCTTTAGAAAATACTAATATTAATTAAATAATAATTATAATAGAAAAAAATAATATTAATAATAAATTAAGCAGCAGCCCCCAGCAGCTCCTTCACAATCCGTAAAAACTCCAAAATCTTTATATACAACTCAAGAACTCAGTTATCCTCGCAACATGCAACATAATGAGAAAAGTAAAAAATTCTCTTGCCCCTTGGTGCCGATAATAGATTTACTTAACGTGTAACGTGAAAACAAATAATCTAATAAATTAATCTAATTGTTTACTAACAAACTCTAGTATAAATGGCCAACTGTACCTATAACAAACAGTTTAAATAAAATATTATAGAATCTATAGTGTGTTAGAATTATCTTGTTTTTATTGACTTATCTCAGATGCTGATGCACCTGGCAGTAGAAATTATTAGGGAGATTGGGGAAATTTGACGAGAAATAAATTATGTAACCAAATCAAACACTAAAAGCTTTCACAAACGCTTAGTTTTTCATACCGACCGACTGTTTGGGCTGTTTTGAAGCATAAACGTGTGCTTGTTCAGTTCATTTTTGTACAGTCGGTAGACAAAGTTAGCTATTATTAACTTGAAATAAAGTGTCGAACTTAAATGAATAGACTGTTTATTTTAGTTAAATTTATCGAATTACAAAAAGCTTGACATAAGGAGTACAATGACAAGAATAAACATATTTATTTAATAGCATAAGCAGAATGCAAGAGAACTATATCTCGGGAAGCTATTTTCATTGTAAAAAATGTGCTGAAACTATTAATAAGCACGTCACTCAGTTTACTGTAGACAAAACTTTGCTAAAAACTGTGTGCGTATGCCACAGGCAGCAGTACAAAGTTAAGCGACGCAAACTGGCCTGCACAGTCATCCTATGCTAAAGAACTGAGCGTCTGTGGGGGCAGTAATAAAATGAAAATAGTCTCGCATTGAGCCTGGAATTGACGAAGGAAAAGAGCACGGCACTGCTATCCTTCGTTCTCAATTATTCTAAAGAATCGAACCCAGCTATTCTCAGTTATTTAATAAAAGAGTAATTTAATAATTCAAGAACTGTCATCGTTTTAAGTTTATTTATTATATTAACCAGCGTTAAGAGCCCTCAGAGACGCTCAGTTCTTTAACATAGGCGCACTGTGCAGGCCACTTTGCGCAGTAAAGGTATCGGTACGTGCGGTCAATGAGCATTCTCGTTAATTATTGTTGCCATAGTTTTAGCTGTCATTAATAGGACATATAGCAAATTTGTACCGACAACTATCGGTATCTCTAACGTCATAAAGTAATCTTAAGGTATACTTTATGTCTACCGTGGAGTTAAGAAAGGCACGGGGTAGAGATACAGATCCTTATCTCTACAAATTGGGATATATGCCCTATGACCGATTGATAATTATGACAACAACAATTAACATATTTTTACTATATAAAAATACTACCTTAACACGACTCTCATTGGCCGTACGTACCGAGAGCTGTCGTAACTTACCGGTATCGACGATTGTCGATGTCGTGTACATAACAGCGCCACTGGAACGTGAATTGTATTGTGTCCAAGTGTCTTGAAAACGTTGAAGTATTAACTATATGTTTATTATTCTTTCAGGGACTCTGACAAGGAGAATATCAAAGAAATCACCCCCGAGCTAGAACAACAGAAACCATCGTCCAAGGAGAAAAAAAATGGATCTGACGATCCGACGACCAATTCAAAACCGAAAATCTCAAAGACGCCCCTGCACGAAACGAAAAAACTCACCGAGTCCGTCAAGAATTCGACCACCGAGGAGTCCGACGTCCAGTTGCGAAGGAATATCAACAACAACATCTTTTTATCGAGTCAAAGAACGGTCAGTCTCAGTCTGCCAAAGACCATCGTGCCCGATTTTCACATAAAGAAACAGCCATCTTTAAGTGAACGGCGAAAAACGGATCAGTGGCAAACTATCAAGGACGAGAATGTCGTCGAAGAGAAGAAAACGGATTCTGAAATTATTTTAAATATATCTGAGAAATCGGAAGAGATTCAATCGGCTACGAAGAATTTCAGTCAGAGAAAGGCCGAGTGGGAGAAAAGAGCACAGCAAGCACATAAATAACTGTTTTGTTAGAGAGATATGACTCGAAAACATATATGACGTTATTGAAATAAAGAGTTATTCATAATAAAAGACTTCATGGTGGATATTGTCAGATATAATACTCTTTCTACTAGAGCTTAAGTGTTCTTAAACTAGTAAGGTTGCCTGGTAACTAACGGACCAATTAGGACACGGTATTATAGTCCATATATTTTGATATTAATTTTGACGTTGTTATTTCTAAGATCAAATGCTGGAAACGAGTACCCAAACGTTCTAGTTTGGATGATTGTACTAGGGTTGTTTTTTTATATTTTACATATAGAGGTACAAAAAAAACTGTAGATAACTTTTAAACAGTATTGTTTTTCGAAATATTCTCCACGAAGAGAAATGCATTTTTGTATCCATTGGAACCAATTCCGAAAGCAGTTATTTCAATCACTTGTTGGTACCTTCAAAATTGCGTTTTTGAAGGCGCTGCCTGCGTCTTCTGGGCACAGGAAGCACCACTCAGTTCATTCTTAATGTTTTGAAGAGTAAAAAAGTCGTTAGGACTTAGGTCGGGACTGTATGGAGGATGGTCCAACAATTCGATGTTTTCTTGCTTTAAAAACTCAATTGCTTTTCGTGCTGTGCGGGAACTTGCATTTGTGTTTGAAAAAACAATACTATAATACTCTTAACATAAGTGAGCAAGTATGCTTGGCATCTCTATAATTTTTTTATTAAGACCTAGTTCTTAGGCTAATATTAAGAATTTGTCTACAAATCCAAAGAACTTCTCTACAAGGATATTAATATCGATTGATATAAAGTTCTAATAACAATTTTCGACAACCCTTAATGTCAAAACCGTACACAGCAAGGAAAATGAGAAATAATAAACTGCAGACTTCTTTATATCTCCTATAATATAAATTATATCCAGTGAGATAAGGGAACACTTTCGACAAAGACATAATTGATATTTGTCATTTTGACAAATAAAAACTGTCACTAGCGGTCACTGTATATTCTCTCAGACATCCTCTGACGCGCGCTTATACATATTAAATAAGTTAGTTAATATATATATGGACGCGCGTCCAATACCACTCCTTAGTTACCACAGATCATTTCTACTAGTTTAATGACTCTTGACATATAGTTCGTGTTCTATTGTCTTGGTTTGTCTTGCCAATTACATAAAATAATTTCAGAACCTTTTTTTGACAAACTTATATCATGCTTTAACCATGATTCAGGCCAAAAGTGTAGTCTTCTTGCCGAAACACATAAGGCCTAACAATTTCATGACTAAAACGATTTTATTAGTCAAATTTATGTGATAGTATTAAATAGAATAATTTTGAAAAAAATCAACTTTTTTTATTGTTTGGTTTAATGAAACGAATCAAGAGAGATTGACTGAACATCTTTAAAATAGAGCGTAGAATATCATAAAAACCAAAATATAAAATATGAAACTTGTAAAATATTCTTATGATATTTAATGACAGTACTTAGAAAACTTTAATGTATTAAGTTTTTTATAATTAGAAAAATAGACGTTGTAACGTCGTATATGATGTATACTGTTAAAATAGCTCTATTTTTTCACCCATTCTTTACTATAGATGAAATTGTTCTAAAAATATTAACTGAAAAATTTGAAGAGCTTCTTTTGTATTACAAAGATATTACAAAAAAAACGTTTGTAAGAATTTCTATAAACACTCTGTATACCAGATTCTGAAACTGATTTTGCCATTGTACACTTAACAGGTTCACGTATAACTTTATCTGTTAGCCTCCCCAATTAAAAAAATGTATACTTTCCTATAGAAAATATGTTCTGTTATTCATGATAGATGCTCTGTTAGAAATAAAAATGTTGTAATTTTTACTTTCAAAATATAAAATACTTTATTTGGTATGACCAGGATGAGTAAAGGTTTATTGGATTAACTCCGATTAAATATTAGGTACCAAAATGTTGCATTTAATTTTAAAAAGAAATATTAAGACTTTTAATTATCTCTGTATTGTTTATTTGTAGATATTAGGTAAGTGCCTTTTTAGTATTTTTCAATTAACTATATTCATTTTAACATGGAGTTTAAATAGAAGACCAATATTTCTATTACCTGTATTATTTATGGTCTTTATATTAAAATAGTTTTTATATCAGGGTCCTACAATAGTGCGCTGGGAATTTATGGGTTCTTTAACAAAAATCATGATTCAAATCAATATCAAATGAACATGTTTCGTATGTAATAATAATAATATTCGCTTTATTGATGAGATTTTACATTCAAAAAACACATTGCCCCTCGTCCACTCATACTTTTTGAGACACTCTTCTACAAGTGAATATATTTTCCTGAATATTGTATCTTTACTATTAGACCTATAGATGCCCGACGGCACTGTTGCAGAACCCTGAAGTACTTTACTTTTCCTGTTAAAACTCCATGCATCTTTTAACCCCATTGTGATGAACAAGTTAGAAATGATAGTGAACCCACGCTTGCCTTTCGAAAGATAATATTTGGTGCTTGAGAGAGAGAATTTATGTATATTGTGTGTTGATATTATCTCAGTGTATATTACATTTACTGTCATATTTCAATATGTCCTGAAATAAATGTTTAATGTAAGTTGATAGTTGTTTTCATAATCACAATACCTTATTGTACTCTACCGTTGATTGGTTTGGTTTGGTTAGGTGCGCAAGCTTATAAGCGATTTCGTGGCACAAAATATGTCCGAGATTTAGCTGGTGTTACCTTTATATGTCCGAGATTTAGTTATCTCTGCGCCGCTGGTGATGATCTCGTTTGCGATCGTTCGCGAGTCGTTTATAGCGCAGCGGATAAAGAATACTGTACCGTAGTTTGCTCTCAGTCGACAGAGTGGGTGGTTGCCGGAGACAGTGTTGCTAGAACTACCGATTAATCCGGATATTTACAGGGGTTTGGGTACAGTGCGTAAATAATACGGATTTTCTATCATAAAAGAATTTAATATATCATACGATTAAACAACAAACGGCGTCAGAGTTGGCTTGGAAATGAAGATCGCTGTTATTTCATATTATGTAAAATATTATGGTAAATATCAATAGTCATTCCCGAGCCAATTAAACGACTTTTTTCGATCATACCAAATATTCAGTACCTATAAAAGAATTTTTGTTTTTGTTGTTTATTCTATGTTTAACAGGAATACATTTTCAATACATAAGCGCGGATTTTTTATCCAAAGCTATTTTCGTCTAACGTATTACAGATATTATACATTTTAATATGGCAACGCTGTCGCTTTCAGTTCCTGTCGTTGATATGCCTTCGCTAGACGAATTAGAAAAAATAAGTGTTGGTAGCACAACGAGTAGAGGCTCCACCGTATAGTTGGGGCATATTTATGGGGCTACTTCGAAACACCGGTTCCCGATAGATTACCAAAATTAAGCGACGTTAGACGTTGCGAGTGGATGGATGGGTGATCCTCTGGAAAATCTGTCGTGCTCTTGTTCCATGGTAAGAGTGTAAAAATCTATTGACGCGTTGCTCATTCACTAGTAAGTATGATATCCCGTGAGTAAGAGTCGATTTAGACACTCGCCAAGTCGGTAGGCTATTGACAATGATATGGCCGAGAACTGCTGTTCAGATTCCGTGAAAACAAAGTAGGCCCCGTCAACATAGACATCGGCATGTCCATCAATACCTTGGATTTAGTATACTCACTGTTAAGAAAAAATATAATATGTTAATATATAATAATTAATAATAAATGAGTTTTATTTGACTAAAATATACAATACATATTAGAAGTACTGTCTTACTCTGAACAAATAGAGAAAGCCGTCTATTTATCACAAAAATTCTAATACTAAAACTAAACAACATAAGTTGTTCTGGAATAGACATTATTTTATGGCTACGCTCTTATACAGGGTGGTCCGAACTGTATTCCTGAAACTTCGGCAGCATATTCTGTAGATAAAAATAGGTAAAAAAGTTCATATAAATGTATGTCCTAAAATGCTTAGTTTCGATTCGGGTGTAGAAGTTTCATTTTTATATCTATTTTTTCCTATATAAATAATTTCCGAAGTAACATCAATATTTGGATAAAAATTTGGGAGGTTTTTGACATGAGAAATTTGATTTTGATGTCAACATGACTCCTAGTTGTAGGGGGCGCCACCTACATGTATTTTAACTGTTTTGAAGAGTAATAACTTTTCGTCCGTACCTGTATAATAACTACTATACCTGTATATATAACTACTGAGTGTAAGTGTAGTTTACACTTTGTATAGTTTCAGGAATGATATGCAGGAAAAATTTGACTTACAAATCGGAATTTCTAGTACAAGAAGATTGTAACTTAGTTCCTTCTTGAATATTTTTTTATATAACTATAAACCTTACTATATTATAATAATTATATATTATATTATATAATATTTTTTTATATAACTAATAAACTATAAACCTTAACAGGACACATTTTTTTTTAAGAAAAGTTAGATATTAGAAATTTATATTGAGCTCTATGGAAAATATATTATATCTCTATTTTGTTTTAAGTAATTTCCATACGAAAGTTCCATACGTTTTAAGTAATTTCCATTAGTAGTGGGAACTATCGAATGAATACTATCGAAACATTCGATAGTTGCAATTCATTCGAATAATTCGATAGTTAGTAAGAAAACATTTGTTGAAAACTATTCGAATAAAAATTATCGAATAGATCCGTCATCTGCCTTGAAATGTTGTATTCTAGTAATTCGGCAGCAAAAACCATTCATTTATAAAATTCATTCATTTATGAAATTCATTCGTTCGTCAGGATCGATTATAATAAAATATTAACTGAATTTTAGTTGTCGCCCGGCGACGTAGGTTTCTTTCCGAGAAACCCGACAGCGGTCGGTGGCAATGCTATGAAAGAAGCCGGCATCTTTGATTTTTTGCGGAGTCAGATATAGATAAGGACACATTATTTTTTTTATTGAGGTGCTAGTATTTACACAGAAAATACTTATGAAAGGCGCTGTTGCCATATTTTGGTATTAGTTGATATTAGCAAAGAATATTATTGTTTGGCTTTAGTTAATTAGGGAATATAAAGACATACTATCTATTCTGCATTTTTTTTATTAATATTCTGTTGTTACACTGCAATAATACTTGTTATTTTGGATGTAGGAAAATTATTTTTAATGTTTTTTAGCAAAGACTGGTTTAATAAATAATAATAACAATAATAATTTGTTATACCTATTAACAACAAAATTTAAAATCATTTAATATAAATATTTTCTTTTAAGTAGTAGCAAAATATAAACAACAAATTAGATGTCAAAATTATTTATATTAGATCCTATTTAAAAATAATATAGTCTCTAAATTTTTTGGCAACGGTGGTTTATTAAATAATAATAATTACAGAACTAATTTGTTATATTAACAACAAATTTTAAAATCATGAAATATAAACATTTATTAATTTTCTAAGCATGCAGTGTAATGTAAGGAAAATATAAATAAAAAATTAGAAATCAAAATTATTTATATTAGGTGCTTTATATTACTATTTAAAAATTATATTTACTTTTACTGGCATTTACTTTAAAAAATAAATGAAATATTTTTTCTTCGCAAAAAACTACATGTAAAAGAATTAGCATAAACAAAATATAAACATTGTTAACTTTTTTTTTTAAATTGGCACGTGTAAAACTTTCATTTTAATTTTCTCACCCCATAGTTTGAGTTCGATAACCATTTACTTAAATATGATTATACAACCGCATTACTTAAATATGATTATTAAGTTCAACTAATTCATATTATTAAAACATCTAAAATACAAATATGTATTTTTAAAATTAATTGTAAGTTCATCTCATCTCTCTTAAAAATTGCTACTTCTCAAAATTTCCCATTAAAAAATAGACCATATACCATATAAAATTAAATAATTGAAAGATCGGACTACGGAAAACCACATAAATTTTCGGAAAAATTTTGACCACCTGCACATGCACACAATCGTCAATAAATAAAATTAAAAAATAACTACTATTTTAGTATTTTAACTATTTTAATAAACGCAAAAATAGCACAGTATTTATACGGCGAAGTTATAAAAATTTGGAAGAACTAATAATGCACCGACGCATACAAAAATCAAACAAATACTAAATTTCATTTATCAAAAGCATTCGATAGTCGTGGCTCAACGATAACCATTTAGTCGCACGGCGAGGTTGTCACATATGCTTTAGTATACAAATGAATGAATGATTTTATTCGAATAAAACCATTCGATAGTTGAAATCATTCATTCATTAACCATTCGATAGTCTAATTCATTCGATAGTTCCCATCGCTAATTTCCATACGTAAGGATGAACATAAAATATAGTGTCATCTGGGAATCTATGTTCTGTTGATTTCTTGACACGATTTCAGGTTTTACTTTATGATCCTCTATAATAATCGAAATTTTTATGAATCAACAGCACGTTGACGTGTATTTTCTTGTACGATCACCAAAGGTAAGCAGCAATATGCGTGGTTGTTATTAGAAGAAGTGGCCGCTTGAAAACACCCCTTTTTTTGATTTTTGGCTCATTTAATTTGCGTTGACAAACAAAATTTGCGATCCTGGATCCGTTAGCTGTTGATCCTGAATCCGTTGAATCCGTTAGCAAATTTCGCGATATCGTCTGCTGTTTATAGACTTGGTGCATTTCAGTTGATTTCAACAAATTCCGACCGCAACGCACTCTACGGCAGAAATCAGAAATTATCAATAAATAGTTCACGCCGCCGTCATGTCGATCGCATTAAAATAATATTGAAATCGGGGTTTTGTCGTAATATTTAAGTACTTTAGTTTTTTGCTAGTGTAGTTATTGAGACTATAAAACACTCAGGTACGAAGTTTGTGTGATGTAACTCTGTTTCGGGTAGTAAAAAATAAGTGAAAAAGAATTCGAACTAGGCGCTTTGTGTTGTGACAATTTCAAATGTTAATAAAATTGCTCAAAAAAATGTTAACGCGTAAAGGAGAGCGTAATTAGGGGCGTTGTTGGGTGCAATAACATTCAATAACTCAATTTTTTCGGATATTCAACTCTCCCGAAACAATATTTTATTTGTAGCTTCATATAGTTTCTCACACCGATTTGATCAAAAGCAAAAAAGGAATTCAAGCAGTTCGACGAAACAAGTGAGTAAACAAAGTGCTCGTTACATAATCAAAAAATTAAATAGACATATACTATGAGAGGATACAATATAATTTGCAATATTAATGGTATACTTTTTTTAATCAACTGATTAAATGTTTTATCTTCTAAAATTATAAATATATACCTTTAAAAAATGTCGTTATAGCCGAAATAGCTCCAATTATGCCCCACTAGCAAAACCGGTGATAACACTATGCTCGCTACCGTAGTTGAACTCATCTAAAAAAAATTTTTATCTGGAATAATAAATTATAATACAAGTTAGACCTTCTGAAGATATCAAAATATTTACCTTTTTATTTTTTTGTTTAGAATTTCCACAAATTTTACTTTCTAACACTTTTTTTTACTTTCTAACACACTAATTTTTTCGTTTACTCG